GGTAGTGTTAGGGTATTAGTGGATGGGTATTTTACCCACCTTGTAAGTTAAGTCAATCTTCAGTTCTGTNAGTATTTTACCCACCTTGTCAGGGAAGTCTCTTTCAAGTTCTGTGACACTCTTACACCAGTAGTGTTAGGGTATAAGTGGAGGGGTATTTTACCCACCTTGTCAGGGCAGTCTCTTTCAAGTTCTGTGACCCTCTTACACCAGTAGTTTTAGGTTATAAGTGGAGGGGTATTTACCCACCTTGTCAGGGAAGTCTCTCTTCAGTTCTGTGACACTCTGACACCAGTAGGCAGCAGTTTTCTCACTGATCAGCTCTATATTGAGGAATGCACCCTGGCCAGGGCCATACAGGTAGCCTGATGTTGTCCCACGAACAATTCTTGGAGAAACATTTGTCACAATATCCTGAAATATTTATCTTTGGTTTATATATGCATGAAGGAATTTGAAAAGAAAATTACAGCATTATCAAATCATGTCACTGTAATTCTATCTCAATAGTTCTTGTTGAAAATCAAAGATTTAGTATTATATATATAATTACTTCCTACTGTGAATTTGTCTGTCTTCTTTACTTAAATGCTGATATGTCTTTTTACACTGACATTTTAAATTTAACCACATACATCAATGTAAAATAGAATCAATACATATTCTAAACAATCAAAATGTCAATAATATCATATTGTAGAGCGAGTACCTTGTCGAGGGCAAAGGTTTTGGTGAGGGCAAACCCCCAACCTTGTTCAAAGCTCCTGCGTATCATGGCACTGCTAGTGGTGGGAGGGGCACTGGCCAGACCAAAGGGGTTGGGGAACTTAAGGCCACACACTTCCACTGAGACATCTACAGAGTCAATCGCTGTGAAGAACTTAGGCAGGCTTGGTACTGCAGGGACTGGCAGACCATGGAGGGACTGTCAACATGTTATAATTGAGACAGAAACCTCATAAATCAGGAAACTTTAGTTTGACAAAAATGTCAGGTATGGGTCAATTTCTAGATTTATAATATTGATGGAAAATGTTACTGGAATGGATGATAAGCAATTTTGTATATGTCTATATCATTATACATTGATTTTTTAAAAGAAACGTTCAATTGTAATTTAGAATACAAGAGGTCCATTGGACCTGTATCGCTCACCAGGTTTTATATGTAAGTCATTACAACTGAATGCATTAGTACATCTTTATATGAAATTTCCTCAAATCCAAACATGATCTATGTTCTAACCCAACTGGGACCACAATATCTGACTTTCAACTAATCAGGGGCCTCCATTGAGTTGCCATGTTAACAGATTTTGAAATAAGTAATATGTCATATTACAGGGTGTAATTAGACAATACTTTAATTTTCATTCAACTGTAAGCTTTTATAAACCTAGAAACCAATTTTTAACAATTTATAAAAACTACATCATAGAATATGATAATCTAGCTGTACCATTTCTTAGGACCGCAGGGGTCAAATCAACCTCATTCAATTAAGAAATGTTTGCAGGCAATTAGGGGATATCAGCATCTTAAAGCAAAATATGAGATCATTTTCCTCTTTGGGGCCTGGTCTTCCTAACCCCATGGGTCGAACCGGTCTAATTTATTTAGGAAATGATTGCCCTCCCCCAATGAAGTTTCAGAGCAAATTTGGTTGAAATTATCTCTGGTGTTTAGGAGGAGATGCATTTTAAAGCAAATTTAGCTAAGTTCCTCTTCAGGGCCTGCCCCCCTGGCCTCAGGGGTCAAACCAACCTCACTTAGAAATGATTGCCCTCCCCTAGTGATGCTTCAGACTAAATTTGGTTGAAATCATCATTGGCGTTAAGTAGGAGATGCGTTTTAAAGCAAATATAGCTAGGTTCCCCTTCAGGGCCCCGCCCCTGTGGCCTCAGGGGTCGAACCAACCTCGTTTATTTAAGAAATGATTGCCCTCCCCTAGTGATGCTTCAGACTAAATTCGGTTGAAATCCTCACTGGCGTTAAGTAGGAGATGCGTTTTAAAGCAAATTTAGCTACGTTCCCCTTCAGGGCCCCGCCCCCCTGGTCCCAGGGGTCGAACCAACCTCATTTATTAAAAAAATGATTGCCCTCCCCTAATGATGCTTCAGACTTAATTTGGTTGAAATCCTCTTTGGCGTTTAGGAGGATATAGGTTTTAAAGAAAAAGTTGACGACGGACGACGACGACGGACGACGGACGCTGCGCCACGGCATAAGCTCACTTGCCCTTAGGGCAGGTGAGCTAATTATGATTTCATCAAAATATTTCTTCATTCAATTAACCCAAAACAAATACCTGGAGGTATTTGTGGATGTACCAGGAGGCAGTCTTGCCGTCGTTGACAGACTCCACTGTAGTCTGGGCGACACCAGCCAAGTCTCCCCCACAGAATACCCACGGTTCACTGGTTGCCATGGTGTCAGTGTTGACCTCGGGTAACCCCCAGTTGTTGAACTTGATAGGCTTCATAGCGTCCACCACTAGTATAACAGTACACACAAGGAAGGTAACCACAAGTACTCACAAGAATGGTTACCCAAAGTACCTAACCAAAGAACTGAAAGTACTGAAAGCTAAGGCAAAAGGTAGATCAAGAATTATATATTATTTTTGGAAAGGGGAACAAAATAAAGACAAAGTACCCATCATATTGTACACAAGGGTTAGCTGTTAATTTATTATAAATCATAGTTTTATGTAAAAATGTACCACTGTGAAGTTATTCTTCTTGTGTGTACAGTATATCTTTAAAGGTACATCAAAGATAAGTAAGGGCCCCGTCTTGTGGCAATATATCCCCCATAATCATCAAGAAGCAATCTGCCCATATAGCTGAGCTTGACGTTATACATTTGGATTTCAAAAAGAATCGCAAGGAAGCAAAATATACATTTTACATGCGAGCCTTGTTTCCTTCCACCTCCATATTTGCTGGGCTAACAGAAATGTAAATGCCGGTGCAAGACCCATTTGTTAGCTTTGATTTGTTTTATTTCACCTTAAATACCTCCTCCATCAAGAGCCAGGGTCAAGGTCAGGTATCCACTTTGTCTTTGACCTTTGGACCCAAATGACCTCGACCTTTGACCCAGTGACCCTGATCTTTGGTCAGTTGACTTATTCTTTAATTCTGACCCACTTTGCTTCATAATATCATAACAAAATGTTCATCAGTGAAAAATACAAAACTTGACCTTGACCTTAAACCTTTGGACCCCCTAACCTGGACCTTAGGTCAGTTAACTCAATGTTAAGTTCTGAACAAAATTGCTTCATAATAACATGATAAAAATGTTTATCAGTAAAAAGATACAATATTTGACTTTGACATTGACCCAGTGACCTTGACTCCTTGTTAATTTCCGACCAACTTTGCTTCATAATATGCTAACAAAATGTTAATCAGTTAAAAATTACAAAATTTTACCGTGACCTTTGACCCAGTGACCTTGACCTTTAGGCAATGGACTCTTTGTTTTATTCTGAGCAACATTGCTTCAAAGTATCATAACAAAATGTTCATCAGTGAAAAGTTACAAAATTTGACCTTGACCTTTGACCCAGTGATCTTGACCTTTGGTCAGTTGACTTTTTATTTCATTCCGATCAACTTTGCTTCATTAAAATGCTCATTAGTGAAAAGCTACAAAGTTTGACCTTGACCTTGACCTTGAACTCTAACCCGAACACTGTGACCTTTGGTCAGTTGTCCTGACAATCCATTACAATTAATACCAACCCTCTGATTCTGACAAACCACTAATAATACCAACCCTCTGGTCCTGCAATCCACTACAATTAATGCCAACCCTCTGATCCTGACATTTACCACTACAATTAATACCAAACCTTTGATTCTGATAAACCACTACAATAAATACCAACCCTCTGATTCTGATAAACCACTACAATTAATACCTGAACCCTCTGGTCCTGACAATCCATTACAATTAATACCAACCCTCTGATCCTGACAATCCACTACAATTAATACCTGAACCCTCTGGCCCTGACAATCCATTACAATTAATACCAACCCTCTGGTCCTGACAATCCACTACAATTAATACCAACCTTCTGGTCCTACCAATCCACTTCAATTAATACCAACTCTCTGGTCCTGACAATACACTACAATTAATACCAACCCTCTGATTCTGACAATCCACTGCAATTAATACCAACCCTCTGGTCCTACAATCCATTACAATTAATACCAACACTCTGATTCTGACAAACCACTACAATTAATGCCAACCCTCTGGTCCTGACAATCCACTACAATTAATACCAACACTCTGGTCCTGACAATCCACTACAATTAATACCAACCCTCTGATTCTGATAAACCACTACAATAAATACCAACCCTCTGATTCTGATAAACCACTACCATTAATACCTGAACCATCTGGTCCTGACAATCCAGTACAATTAATACCAACCCTCTGATCCTGACAATCCACTACAATTAATACCTGAACCCTCTGGTCCTGACAATCCATTACAATTAATACCAACCCTCTGGTCATGACAATCCACTACAATTAATACCAACCTTCTGGTCCTGACAATCCACTTCAATTAATACCAACTCTCTGGTCCTGACAATACACTACAATTAATACCAACCCTCTGATTCTGACAATCCACTGCAATTAATACCAACCCTCTGGTCCTACAATCCATTACAATTAATACCAACACTCTGATTCTGACAAACCACTACAATTAATGCCAACCCTCTGGTCCTGACAATCCACTACAATTAATACCAACACTCTGGTCCTGACAATCCACTACAATTAATACCAACACTCTGGTCCTGACAAACCACTACAATTAATACCAACCCTCTGATTCTGATAAACCACTACAATTAATACCTGAGCCATCTGGTCCTGACAATCCAGTACAATTAATACCAACCCTCTGATTCTGACAATCCACTACAATTAATAGCTGAACCCTCTGGTCCTGACAATCCACTACAATTAATACCAACCCTCTGGTCCTTACAATCCACTACAATTAATACCAACCTTCTGGTCCTGACAATCCACTACAATAAATACCTGAACCATCTGGTCCTGAGAATCCAGTACAATTAATACCAACCCTCTGATCCTGACAATCCACTACAATTAATAGCTGAACCATCTGGTCCTGACAATATACTACAATTAATACCAACCCTCTGGTCCTGACAATCTACTACAATTAATACCAACCCTCTGGTCCTGACAATCCACTACAATTAATACCAACCCTATGGTCCTGACAATCCAATACAATTAATGCCAACCCTCTGGTCCTGACAATCCACTTCAATTCATACCAACCCTCTGGTCCTGACAATCCACTTCAATTAATACCAACCCTCTGGTCCTGACAATCTACTACAATTAATACCAACCCTCTGATCCTGACAATCCACTACAATTAATACCAACCCTCTGATTCTGATAATCCACTACAATTAATACCAACCCTCTGGTCCTGACAATCCCCTACAATTAATACCAACCCTCGGATTCTGACAATCCTGATCCAAATGCCGAGATGATATAGTCTGCCTTTATTCTGATTGTCTCTTCTTCATCCTCCACCCAGTTTCCGTCATCATCCTGCTCTGTTCGCACAAACTCCATCCCTGACACTTGACCACCCTTTCTCATCACCTGGCGTGGTGACATAAATGGCAGGAACTCACACTTCTCCTCCTTAGCCAGCTCCATCTGTGAGAGAGGTACAGAACCAGTAGTTTATACACTGTAGCACTGCTTTACCTAGGATCTTGGTGATTCATTATGTAGCCACTTGTTTCATTACATCAGTATATGTATTAACATTGAGACAAAAAAAGAAACACTTGTGTAAAATTTGAATAAAAAAGAACCAATTGACCCCAAAGATTTGCAGTATAGACAAGTTTGCAAATCGGAATATATTTGGCAACCATTTTTTATATCTATCTTTAGTTTATTTGTTTTCATTTTATCATATTTTATTCTTTTGAAATATCAATCAAATCGGCCTAATTGAATTTCAGTTTGAACTCATGATGTCTCAGACAGAAAAAAATCCTATTTGCAAGTTTAGATTATTTCACTGATTTAACCCTTTCTCCCCTATGTAACTTAAGTAGACTCTACCATGCATTGATATGGATGTGTCCATTATGTTCTACAATGGTTAAAGGGTTAACAGTAATGGTTAATTTATTGTAATGAGTTAATCATGAAATTTGAACCACATCAATCAAATCAAATTCACATTGTTATAGTTTTATAATGTGGCAGTAAATCAGAATTATGGTCACTCACCTCCGAACAGTACTTGGTTCAAAATTTGATGTTAACTTAATTATAGCCACATGAGAAACATGAACAAAAAGGTTTGATCATACATTTGCCCCTTGGAATTTAAATTTAAACTTGTGATCTGCCATCCTATTGCAAATTCACAATTCTTAGTATTGACTATTGCACCTTATGCTAAAGGAACTGACATTTGTTTATGAAGAATCAACAGTGACACTCATGTTTAAAATAACAGGTCAATGTCCTCACTGGTTGGGAAATATGAAGCTTCAATTTGAGGCTAAATACTCAGAGATAAGCGGTGACATCCATCAACTAAATAATTATTGTAATTTGAATTCCTATAATACTATCTACACACTGTGAGGATAAAATATAATTATCCATTCAAACAATCGTAAATTTGTGTTTCAGTTTGTCAAAGTGTGGGTCACTTTAACAAGACAACATGCATTGACTGATGACTGATGTCCAGTTTTAAAACTCTGTGAAGATTTCAAAACTACCAGTAAGCCTGTGGCAAGTGGGTCACAAGTTAATTTGTCCGCTTGATATTAAAACCCCAAACACATCACTTCTATCTGTGTGTGAAACCAGACATAGGCCTTTTACTATACACACACACATTAATGTAGGTACAGCCATTTTAAAGCTGGCCTATCAAGCTGACAATTCTAACTGTTCACTGGAGAATTGCTGAATTGTAAAGCTTTTGTGACTTTCACATCTGATACTGTCACCTGATAATGGACGTTGCAGTATAATAGGAAGGTTTAATGTTTTACATTAAACATTACAGCTAGTTACTGGATATGTACACACACAGTTGTTACAGTGAGAGAGTCAAACAGACCCTCTCTTGGGCCCCTCTAAGCAGCAAGCAGCACAAACAGCAAACATCAGTCAGTATATTATATATAATCAGGTAGTTATACAAATTAAAAAAAATCTTCAAACACTCTCTCTCTAAACGTCTTTTATGACAAGAGGCCCAGAGGGCCTGTATTGCTCACCTGAATATTTAAGCAGTCATAGCAAATTATTCTCATTAAATATTATACTGTACTACAAATATTTCACTCACAAACTTTGTCAGCTCCATCTGTTGAAACTACCAGCTAAATATTATTATATCTTTCTATGCTTTTTGGTTCTTTTTCAGAAGTTGTTTGAAGTGTTTGACATATTTTCCCCTGTGACCTTGTAAGTAGGTCAAGGCCATTTTCCTTCTCAAACTTTGTTGGGTCTATCCCAAGAAGCTACCAGCCAAATCTTATGAATCCATTCCTTTTGGTTCTTCAGAACAAATTGTTTGAAATGTTAATGAGGTACCTCTGTGACCTTAAAAGTAGATTGAGGTCATTTTCATTTGCAAACTTTGGTGAGCTCTCTCCCAAGAAGCCACCAGCCAAATATTATGAGTCTATATCTTTCGAATATTCAGAAGAAGTCATTTGACGTTTTTGACATATTTAACCTCTGTAACCCTGAAATTAGGTCAAGGTCATTTTCGTTCTGATACTTTTTTGGGCTCTATCCCAGGAAGCCACCAGCAAACTATAAGGATAGTATACCTTTCAGTTCTTCAGAAGAAGTCGTTTGAAGAGTTTGACATATTTGACCGCTGTGACCTTGAAAGTAGGTGAAGGTCATATTCTTTCTCACTATCCCAGGAAGCCACCAGCAAACTATAAGGATAGTATACCTTTCAGTTCTTTAGAAGAAGTCGTTTGAAGAGTTTGACATATTTGACCGCTGTGACCTTGAAAGTAAGTTGAAGTCATCATCATTCTCACACTTTGTCAGGCTATGTCCCAGAAAGCTACCAGCCAAAAATGAAGATTATATACCTTTTAGTTCTTCAGAAGAAGTCGTTTGAAGCGTTTGACATATTTGACTGCTGTGACCTTGAAAGTAGGTGAAGGTCATATTCTTTCTCAAGCTATGTCGGGCACTATCCATAGACAGCCATCAGCCAAATATGAAGGTTCTATACCTTTCAGTTCTTCTTCAGAAGTCGTTTGAAGTGTTTGACACATTTGACTGTTGTGACCTTGAAAGTAAGTGAAGGTCATTTTCGTTCTCAAACTTTGTTAGGCTCTATGCCAGGAAGCCACCAGCCAAATATGAAGATTCTATACCTTTTAGTTCTTTTTCAGAAGTCATTTGAAGTGTTTGACATATTTGACTGCTGTGACCTTGAAAGTAAGTGAAGGTCATATTCATTCTCAAACTATGTTGGGCACTAGCCATAGACAGCCATCAGCCAAATATGAAGATTCTACAGCTTTCAGTTCTTCTTCAAAAGTCGTTTGAAGTGTTTGACACATTTGACTGTTGTGACCTTGAAAGTGAGTGAAGGTCATTTTCGTTCTCAAACTTTGTTAGGCTCTATGCCAGGAAACCACCAGCTGAATATGAAGATTCTATACCTTTCAGTTCTTTAGGAGAAGTCGTTTGAAGAGTTTGACACATTTGACCCATGTGAACTTGAAAGTAGGTCAAGATCATTTTCGTTCTCAAACTTGGTCAGGCTTATACCAATGAAGCTTTCAGCTAAATATCATGATTCCAGGCCTGTTTGTTCTTCAGAAGAAGTTGTTTAAAGGAAAAGTTGACGGCGGACGGCGGACGTTGTTAGCTCACCTTTGGGCAGGTGAGCTTAAAATGGTCATTGCTTTATAGCATTTTTACTTCCAAAATAGTATGCTTTCATTTTCCATAAAATCCTCCTTGGAAATTTCATGTCCTTGTAACATCCAATAAATATGAGGAAATATATATACTGCCTTACTGGTAAGCTTGATTTTCCAACAATGCATTTAACTCAGGGACATGCTTATTATTATTAGTTCAGCAAAATCAAGCGAGGTCATTGACTGGATTGGTGACCACTCGCTCGGTATGTGCAAACATTTTGCAGACATTTTTTAATCCTCTCTACAGAACAATGGTTGGCAACAAATGCCTCTAGGCTATGCCCTGTGAGCTTAAAATAACAAATTAATGATGATGAATCTTATACAGAATAGAACAGTAAAATTAAAGCTGATCACATCCTTAAAATTCAGAGGATTATAACAAGAGGCCCAATGGACCTGAATCGCTAAATAACCTGGTATTAATCTCACACTTGTAATCTAAAAAGTGGGCTAAAATACAACTCCAGGCAGAATATCAGTGTTTGATTCATAAGAACCTATTAAAAGATTTAAACATATGACGCCTGTGACCTTGAATGTCGAACAAGGACATTAGGTTGAAAGTGTGTCAAGGTCATTCATTTGAACAAACTTTGTAGTCCTTCATCCCAGCATGCTACAGGCCCAATTTCAGTACCCTGGTCGTTTTGGTTAATAAGAAGTTGTTTGAAGATTTTAAGGCATCTGACCCCAGTGACCTTGAAAGTGGGTCAAGGTCATTCATTTGAACAAACTTTGTAGTCCTTCATCCCAGCATGCTACAGGCCCAATTTCAGTACCCTGATCGTTTTGGTTAATAAGAAGTTGTTTGAAGATTTTAAGGCATCTGACCCCAGTGACCTTGAAAGTGGGTCAAGGTCATGCATTTGAACAAACTTGGTAGCCCTTCATCCCAGCGTGCTACAGGCCCAATATCAGTACCCTGGGCCTGTTGATTATTGAAAACTCGTTTGAAGATTTTAACATATTTGACCCATGTGACTTTGAAAGTGGGTCAAGGTCATTCATTTGAACAAACTTGTAGCCCTTCATCCAAGCATGCTACAGGCTCAATATCAGTACCCTGGGCCTCTTATTTTATTTAGAAGAAGTTGTTTGGAGATTTTAAGACATTTGACTCCTGTCACCTTGAAAGTTGGTCAAAGTCATTCATTTGAACAAACTTGGTAGCCCTTGATTCCAGCACGCTACTGGCCAAATATCATCATCCTAGGCCTTTTGGAAAATAAGTTGTTTAAAGAAAAAAATTGACGCCGGACAGACGGACGACAGACCGAAGGACGCCGCACCATGGCATAAGCTCACTTGCCCTTCGGGCAGGTGAGCTAAAAATGCTATCTACATCTGTTGTAAGGGTACACATAAAATTTGACAGAACATTACATGGTGATGTACATATGATACACTATTGTAACTAGGAGTGCTGTCTTGATTTACCTCCTCTGGAACAGCCCTGATGTTGGTAAATCCTTTCCTGAACACCACATACACCTTTTTGGCGCCGCATCGCAATGCAGAGGTAGCACAATCAAATGCAGTGTCCCCAGCACCTAGGACGATCACTTTTCCCTTCAATGCTGGCAACTGGCTCTTACAGGCACACATACCTGTACAGAAGACAGTTCAGTTAAACACCAGTGCAGAGAAAAGATCAAACAAATACCTGTACTACAAAGGAGAGTTCTCAGTAGAAACACTTTGATCACATAATGTACTGTGTTATCCAGTGAATATACCCATGTCATATTTGTTTGCCTATGTACCCGTGTAATATGACCCATCAGCCCTGTGATTGGTTGTACAGACCCGTACACGTTCGCTGTTCCACCTTGGACGGCAACGGTAAGGAAGTGCTTCGGAAACGGTACGAAAGTGCTACGCAAACGGTACAGAAGTGCTACAACGGTATGCAAACAGTACGCAAGTGTTACGCAAACGGTACGCAAGTGTTACGCAAACGGTACGCAAGTGTTACGCAAACGGTACGAAAGTGCTACACAAACGGTACAGAAGTGTTACGCAAATCGGTACACAAGTGTTACGCAAACGGTACGGAAGTGCTACGCAAACGGTACACAAGTGTTACACAAACGGTACGGAAGTGCTACGCAAATATTACAGAAGTGCTACGCAAACGGTATGCAAACAGTACACAAGTGCTACGCAAACGGTACAGAAGTGCTACGCAAACGGTACAGAAGTGCTATGCAAACAGTACACAAGTGCCAGGCAAACGGTACGCAAGTGTTACGCAAACGGTACGGAAGTGCTACGGATGACGCTTACAAACGGTGATTCGTTTGTAGTGACAAGAACGGGTTTACATAACAAGAGGCCCAGAGGGCCTGTATCGCTCACCTGAATATGTTTAAAATAATTGGTATGAAGTTAAGATATAGCACTCCATGGTAGGTTCTGTAAGTACATATGAAATTTCAGAAATATAGCAAGAACAAACTTCAAACAGAGCCCAACCCCTATGCCCCTTTGGGGGGTCATACCCACCAATTATACAAAATTGAGTCCCCTTGACCCAAGGATGCTCCAGACTAAATAAGGATAAAATCCCTTAATCCTGATGGTCAAAGAAGGATTTTAAAGGTTTTACCTCTATTTCTCCTATTAGGCCCCGCCCTTCTACCCCTTGGGAGACCACACCCACTTCTTTTACAAAATTGAGTCCCCTTGGCCCAAGGATGCTCAAGACTAAATTTGGATAAAATCCCTTAATCCCTATGGTAGAAGAAGGATTTTAAAGGTTTTACCTTTATTTCCCCTATTGGGCCCCGCCTCTCTGCCTCCAGGGGGGTCAGACACACCGTTTATATAAAATTGTTTCCCCTTCATCCAAAGGTGCTTCATACCAAATTTGGACAAAATCCTGTCATTCCTACAGATTAAAGGATTTTGAAGAATTTGCTATGTTTCCCCTATTTGGCCCCTCCCGTCTGCCCCCAGGGAGGCCACATTTGCTGTTTATACGAAATTAAGTCCCTCTTGCCTAAGGATGCTCCAGACTAAATTAAGATAATATCCCTTAATCCCTAAGGTACAAGAAGGATTATAAAGGTTTTACCTATATTTCCCCTATTGAGCCCTGCCCCTCAGGTCCAAGGTGGGCCACACACACCGTCTATACAAAATTGGTTCCCCTTTACCCAAGGATGCTCCACACCAAATATGGAACACATCCTTTCATTCCTACAGAAGAAGAAGGATTTTAAAGAATAATTTGCTATGTTTCCCCTATTAGACCCCGCCCCTCAGGCCGCTGGGGGCCAGACCCACGGGTTATACAAACTTGGTTACCCTTCACCCACGGATGCTTCAGACCAAAATTGGAACAAACCTTTCATTCCTACAGAAGAAGAAGGATTTTAAAGAATAATTTGCTATGTTTCCCCTATTAGGCCCCGCCCCTCAGGCCCCTGGGGGGGCCAGACCCATGATTTATACAAAATCTGTTCCCCTTCACCCAAGGCTGCTTCTAACCAAATATGGAACAAATCGTTACATTCCTACAGAAGAAGAAGGGTTTTAAAAAATTTGCTATATTTCCCCTATTGGGCCCTGCCCCTCAGCCCCCAGGGGGGCCACACCCACCATTTATACAAAATTTGTTCCCCTTCCCCCAACAATGCTTCTGACAGAATTTGGTCAAAATCTACTGGGCCGTTCAGGACAAGTAGCGTTTTAAAGGAAAAGTTGACAGATGTACAGATGACGGAAGCTGCGCCATGGCATTAGCTCACTTGCCCTTCGGGCAGGTGAGCTAAAAATATGTTTATACTAGAAGCGTGGACATTCAATACATCCTCTTTAAATCTATTCCAAGGGGGAAAAAATCAAAGCGGACTATTTTTACAATGCTTCATTTAATAAATATTGAAATAATTCACGAGGTTATTATCGATCAAGTGTTTACGTAGTGTTAGACGCGAGATCAACATGAAAGAGAGCCGGGAAAAAACCATGCTGTACGCATAGGCGATTTGAAAAAAAATCAAAGTACTGAAAGTACTGAAAGCTAAGGCAAAAGATATATATATTATTTTTGGAATGGAGAACAAAATAAAGACGAAGTTCCCATCATATTGTACAGAAGGATTTACTGTTAATTTGTTATGAATCAAAGTTTTATGTAAAAGTGTACCACTGTGAAGTTATTCTTCTTGTGTGTACAGTATATCTTTATAGGTTTGTCAGAAGAGTGGTACCAAGTTTCCTCTAGAATATATCATTTTAAACCTTTGGATAATTAATTTGCATAGGAATTTGGAATTGCTTCCCTTTGTCCATACAATGTATTTCATAGAACATTAAAAACTGAAACTGGCATTTACCCCTTTGACCAATACCTGATTATTTTAAACCATTGAATAGATTATGCACAGATTGTGAACATCTTTGAACTTTGCCTTTGTTGTTGAATAAGATATCAACCCTTGCCTTATCTAACAAAGTTACTTGGCATAAAACCATTGACCAATCAGAGTACAGTATGCTAATTAATTAGGCATGGATTTCACTCAACTTTGAACTTATCGTCTAAGTTTGTATATTGATCAATATATATTCAAGCAAGTTATCTTGTAAAGTGTGCACATCGACCAGGGTTGGCATGCTTTTTAATACGTGTGAATTTTGTTCAAGTTTCAATTTTGCATCAGTCAGTGTATATTGTTACAGAACAATATTTATAAGGATGTTTACTTGCCGAAACTAAATTGTGGATAAGCAAGTGGATTACTGCTACCCATAAATTTACAAGTCTCTCAATAATTTTGAAAAACTTTTAAATAAAGTGTTTTACATATTCACTGCAGTGAAAAGGTCTCTTCTTATGAAAAATGGAACTATTTTGAATCTGTGTTCCCATGAACAAATAATATAAAAAGCACTCTAATTCAATATGATACATTGTTGTATGTTTCAATATTGAATAAGATAAACAAAATATAAACATACATACTCACACACACACACAAGATTAGGAGAGTTACATTATTTTCCCTCTATTTCCATTGCATAAATTCTTCACAAAGAAAACAACAACTTTATAGCATATGTTCAGCTTTATCATCTTCATAGGCTAGCATTTGAAATAAGATGCACATATTAATTTCAAATACATTTCAAAAGAGTACTGCAAATGTACCAGCTAGAACACATACTATGTTATTACAGTTGTCATGATTGTTGGTTTCAGAACTGATAGCATTGTGCAACAAATGTTGACAACAGGACTTATTGAAAGTTGAGGTTGCTTGTGTATATGCAAACAGGTAGTGCATGATTTAATGTTGAGAATGATGGATCAAGGTTTATAAAATTTGGTTTGAATACTTAGTTAGGAATGCACTGACAATTTCTCTGTCACATGTACATGAACAGGTTGTGAAGCTGTAGCCTTCACCTTGACTGAATGAAATTGACCTTAAAACTGTCTTGAACAATTGATGTATGAAATTTAGAAATGAAGTTTCAAGAAATATGGTTGAAAACTTAAGAAATAATTGCTTTCATTGACATTGATACAATCTTGTGTGCTATCCCTCTCATATATCACACAAGATTTAATATCAAATGTTGGACACAGTAAAATCGAGCGAAGTTAACAAATATCAAGTTACATATTATAACTTTTATTTTATTTTATTGATATTGATCATAAGCATTGTTAAAAGTACAATGTATACCAGGGATCTTACATTTCTTTTACTACTTAACATTTGCGTTGACTTTTAATTCATTGGACAAAAACTAAAAGGAAGCCATGACCAGTATTTCTATCTTTAAAAACATACTTTTAATTTTTTTTCCAATTTGCTCCCACCACCCATAGTGTTATATTGATCAAAACAAACGTTGTTTCCAACATTTGTGCCCTTAGTCAGTAGTGGGTGTTCAATCACATTCATCAGGGTTTCAGCATCAAGTAGGGGCTGTTCAATCACATTCATCAGGCTTTCAGCATCAATATTCACAGATTCAATCTGTTCCAAGTAAAGATCACTGACTTCTCCATTAAGGAAAAGTTTGCGAGGAAAGCATTTGAACTACATTTGAACTATTCGCTGATGGAAGGATCTGTGGACTCGGCTTTCATGTGTCTGAGAGAAAATGATTTAGTCAGAGGTTCCTCCTCTATAAAGTAACTGACAGATTTCAAAATGTCATGTCACTGTTGGTATAGTTCTTGCAGCCTTTTGAAAAAGTTCATGAAGTCCTCAAAGGTATGAGAGAGTTGGTACAGTTCCTATTTCTCATCCTCCTTTCTCCCATCAATAACCATCCCTGTCTGTTGTAATATTGATTGCTTTCCCCCCCTAAAATAGAACATAGTTACCATATAATTTCTGCACCAGCAATAATGTTTAGAGATGATATTCAAACAAATAGGAGGCATAGCAATATGAGCTTGTATAGTGAGAAATAAGGCATTAAAGCTGAGGAGTTCATTAAAATGTTTCAAAAACATTTCAATAAGTCAATCTCTTTGGTAGCAGAACTAAATATAAACAAAATGTACATTAAATTCAACTTATAACAGCACATCATATGGGGGCTTAAGACATCTAATTCCTTAGGTGGTAAAACATGTGTA